CATCTCGTTATCTCACTCACCCACTCATTGCTGATTCATCATCTTCTTTTATATCATCTTCACCTCGTTTCCAAATTTTGATTTTTTTTCTCGTTACCCCATCCATTTGTCATTATTACATCTTTAACATTTTTAGTATATTGACGGGTGTATTTACGTGTTAAATAGCTTATTTTTGAGTTCTATTGATGTTTGTAAGTGATACTATGGTGTGTATGCATGTCTGTTTGTATGTATATATGTATATACATGTCTGTTTGTATGTATGTATGTTGGGAAGTTTGTATGTATGTACGTATGTTTGTATATACGAGGAAATGTATTTAGCAGCAGACATGTTTGCGTTAACGAATTCTCATCAACGCGTTTATGACAGACAAATATTTTTCAAAAAAAAAAAAAACACACACACTTTTTTAAATGGCTCGAAATGTTTAGCTTAGATAGGATGCTAAAAAAAAAGATAACACACACACACACACACACATACACACATACATACACACACACACCTATAAATACATATACACGCATGTACACGCACACATACACATACATACAAAGATAAAAGAGAGAAAAAAAGATTACCAGATGTGTTCTGTATATCCGATAAATTCCTTGCTCTACAATACAAACACTCTTTATTTATTTGACATGTATTTGTTTATAAAAATCATATATAAATTATATGTCTGAGTGTGTGTGCAAGTGTGAGTGCATGTATTTTTATGTGTGTGTATGTGTGTGTGTTTGTATGTTTGTATGCGTTTAGCATTTAGACACGCGCGCGCACACACACAGACAGACACAGAAACACACATATGCAAATATTTTTGCTCTGTTCGGCCTCACGTAAAAAGAATAACCACAAATAATTTTTTGTATGTGAATACATCAATTATGCATGTAAACAAACAGGTGCTATATATTAAACTAAAGGACCTACATACACATATGATTATGTTCTAATGTATTCCATGGAATGGATGGGTTACTCTGTATTGTATATGTGCTTATTGTATGTAAATGTATGTTCATGTATGTGTGTGTATGTTTGCATGTATAACTACTTGTACGAAATTGTACACATACAAATAAAGGCGTACGTAACATAAAGTAGACAAACGCAGACAAAGTCAAAAAAACTTTTTCAGTATGAAAATTTTGAAAATTTCCTTATAAAGTAACAATTTGAGAACATTATGCGAAAATCTTCAAATGTATCAAAGATTTGTATCCACAAATATTTTTGTATTAAAATACTTAAGCATACAAAAACATACAAACATGTTCTCGAATACAATACATAAACAGATATAAGTTAGAAATAATCGATATCAGATTGAATGAAAAACTTTTTTAATACAATCGATTTTATAAAAAAAATGTCTTCTTTTATGAATATATCTGCACGAATTTATTATTTTATTCTTATTAAAGTTTATTTTTTGTGACATTATCGTGTATTCTTTAGATCATCATTAATATAGCTTTCGAAAACTGTGCCTTCGATGGTATTAAAATTCCTAGAACGCTAATGATTACAATTTTGTGTGTTATATTTTTGAATTATTATGACTGTTAAAAATTATTTATGATTCTACTTATGTACGATTTTTATATATTAGGTACATTTTTTTTTGTCAAATCAAAATAATTTTCCAAATTAAGTATGTTATTCAACCACAAAGGAACTACGTATTCACGCACATATACAGAAACACACATATATTTCTCTCTCTTTTTTTTTCTCTCTTTCTCTCTCTCTTTTTCTTTCTCTCTCTCTCTCTCTCTTTCTCTTTCTTGCTCTCTCTCTCTTTCTCTTTCTTGCTCTCTCTCTTTCTACATGTACACATTATGTAGCACACAATTAGTGGTGGTACATAGCAGAAAAGAGAGGATATATTTTAAAGCTTTGACAATAAGTCGATTGTCTTGCTTGACGTGTGTGTGTATTGGCGTATTGAATGGCGGTATTGAAAGCCGAAAAGTACCTTTATTTCGTATGCTGTTTTATGCTCTGTCAGAAATCAAGAAGTACAGACGACCATACGCATACATACACACAGACACACACACAGACATTTACACACACACACATACACTCACACACACTCGCATACCAGTTAATACAAACGACCATACATATACACAGACAAGCACACAGACACTTACACAGACAACACACACATACACACTCATATACCAGTTATATACATACTTGACCTTATTTAATCAATGCATTAACAAGATAGCTACATATATAATCTCCATGCTCTACTTTTTGTATTTTTTCTTTCCTTATGATTTCTTAAAATTTTTAACTTTTTATTTAAAATATTTAAATAACATATATCATGTATCGTGTATCTTGCATCATCTTTTGTATATCTTGTATCATCTTTCGTATATCTTGTATCATCTTTCGTATATCTTGTATCTTCCTTCGTATATCATATATCATATATAATATATCAAATACAGTATCGAAACATATATGCATAAATCAATTTTTAACATACGCACATGTGTATATTACATACTGTATATATATATTACATATAAACAGACACACACACATACACACACGCATATAAACACACACATAAACACATACACAAAGTGTTACAAATCGTTTAAAATTAAGCAGCACTAAACACAAGCTGTTGCCCCTGTACTGAGTTTTTTTAACAATAGAACCAAATAAAATTGCATATCATAATATAGCGTTTCATATTGGTCACATGACAATAAGTAGAGAAAGAGAGAGAGAGAGAGAGAAAGAGAGAGAGAGAGAGACAGACAGAGAGAGAAAGAGAGAGACAGAAAAAGATAAAAAAATTTTTTGTTTTATTATTATTATTATTTTCATATATCACGAAAATATGATGTTGTAACATAGTGAAAATATTTGGTTGCCTTTTATAAGCATGACGTGACGTCATAACTTACATTAGTTCTTTGATAACTATTTTTAGTTTTTTTGGTAACTATTTTTAGTTATGACGTAATAATTTTTTTCCATAAAATGAGTTATAAGCTTGGCCGGCCGCAATTAATGAATGGCTTCTTGTTATGTGCGTTATGGTCGATTAATCGTTTTTCAAGTGTTAGAAATATAATATGTATGGCGTTGAGTTTGTGTGTTTGTATGTGTGAATGTGTGTTTTTGTGTATGTCTGTGTGTGGGTGTGTGTGCATGTGTAAATGTGTGTGTGTCCGTGTGGAAGTATGTTGGTGTATATCAGTGTATGTGTGTATTGTGTCATAAATTCTTGTGTGCTAGTAGGTGTTCGTATAGCTGTGCATGTACGTGTGTGTGTGTGTAGTGTGTATGTATGTGTGTTTGGTTGCGTGTGTGTGAGAGAGTTGTCGGAATGATTTGTTAGGTCAAGTTTCTTGTTCAACGATATGAATAGCTAGTTATTAAGTGTTGGTTGTGTTTGTGGTATGGTTGTTGATGTCTGTTGTAATTGATGTGATTTGGTTGTTGTTGTTGTTATTGATGTGATTAATCATTTTTTACGTTAATTTGTTGTGGAGTGGTTGGCGTTACCTTGTTCCTCTTTCTTCTCCATTCAACCCTTTCAAGTCGCATCGATTGAAAAAAATTTAACTTTCCCACAATTGGATCACGCAATCAACTCAATCAATCATTCGACAACGCCAACTTCAACAGCTATAGCGATGACATCATAATATATGACGTCATCAATGGCAGCAGCAACAACAATAGCCTGAAACAACAACATCACCAACAACAACAACAATTACATCAATGAAGAGATGACGAGAAGGAATATTATGGACATTTTACAATCAATAATTCACTTTCAATAATGCATATTCAGTAATTCACAGAGCCAGTAGTTAATACCGTTACCAATTTTTTTCAAATGAAATTTTATGATATTCCTGAAGACGATGAGGAAGATGATAACATTGAGGATGATGATCATGATGATGATGACAATGTTAAAAAAAAGTTTGCAAATGCTGCTGATACTGATGATGATGCTGATGATGCTGATAGTGATGATGCTGATGCTGCTGATGCCGATGATGATGCTGGTGATGCTGATGATGATGCTGGTGATGCTGATGATGATGCTGGTGATGCTGCTGATGATGATGTTGGAAATGAAAGGGGGTAATAAAATAAGTAATTTTATTCTCAAGAGATATTGAAACATTTTTTAATGTTTGGTTTTCTCAGTTCATCAATTTGTTTTGTTTAGTTCTTGTTTTGTTTCGTTACGTTTCGGTTTGTATGTTTTTTTTGACCAAATAAATTTATCAATTTAAAAAAAATAATTTTTTCCATTTCAATCTTTTTTTTTCAATTTCAAACAAACAAAATTGAAAGAATGCAAACCTCGATGCGCCTCCACGCGTTAATTCTTTCACTTTGTTTAGTATGTATGTTTGTATGTATGTATGTTTGTATGTATGTATGTATACAAACATACATGTATGTATGTATGTATACAAACAAACATACATACATACATACATACATACATACATACATACATACATACATACATACATACATACATGCATGCATGCATACTTATGTGAAGTTTTTTTCTTGGCGCGCATATTGAATGTGTGTATGTTGGTTGGCGCGCTTGATGTATGGATTGGTTTTGTATGCATGCTGGTAGAATGTTGTGTGAATTGGTTTTATGTGAGTGTTGGTATGGTATTGCGCGAGTATGGTTAGTGTGTTTGAGATCGAATTGTTTCTCAGTCGTATACAAAGAAAAAACAAATTTGTACATGAATTCATGCACGAATACTATAAACAATAGAACTTGTATCCTTGGGCACAAATGATGTCTGTTTCGCTTCGAAGTTTTTTTTTTATTTTTTTTTGTTCTTTTGTTGTTTTCGTATTTTTTCAAATTATTCTTTAACGTATGAGCACTATTTATGTACGTATTTTTGTTCACGCACACACGCACACAAATATATGTCTATATTTGATAATTAGTTTAATGTCATCCAATCACAGTTAGGTACACATCTTATAATTTAACTAAGGTAACTGCGTCATCCAATCACAATTAAATACATTAATTTTGCAGTAACACCCCACATTGCACTGTCCAATGAGAGTGCTCCATCCATAGACGATCTTGACTTTACCATTCCTAACCAGTACAATGTCCAATCAGAAGATGGGAACAATTTAAATGCCGTCATGAGGGTTGGCGATAGACAGGTTGGTAATGATGATGATTGTGAGAAAAATATTTATGATAACGATTATAAAGATGATGATAACGACGATGATGATGAGGAGGAAGATGATTAAAAATCTGATGATATTCTCTGTTTAACATCTTCATTTTCAACATTATAGTCGTATATCATTGTATATCTGTGTATGTCAATGCAAATATTTTTCATAGTTCCATAGCATTCTATAGTATGGTACATCGTTGTCGTTATTACTGTACATCGTTCTATGTTATTGGACATTTTCATTATTGTACATTTTCATTATTGTACACAATTTCATTATTGTACATTTTCATCCTCACATCGTTGTACTTTTTCCGAAATTTTTCTCCCTTACTAACAGGCATTTGACTACCCCCACCAGAATCAACACCAGTTAGCCGACAGACCACCACTATCCATAGGGGGTGGTGACGTTGTGAGGAGGGCTGACTCTTCCCAGAACGGTGCATCCAGGGCCAGTGGCTCGAGATTCGGCGAAAATTATTACTCTCTCATATCAGATGACTGTTAGTTTGTTTGTTTGTATGTTTGTTTGTTTGTTCGTTTTTTAAACGAATGAGTGAATGATTAAATAAATGAATTAATGAATGAATGATTAAACGAATGAAAAAATGAATGAATTAATCGATCAATCATGTAGCTAAAAAATTTGATAGATTTATTGAAGAATATATTGATTGTTCAAATGATTTGTTATTCAGTTGATGAAAATAAAACATGCTCAAAATTGAATGAATGTGAATGAATGTGAATGAATGTGAATGAATGATTGAGTGAATGAGTGAGTGAATGAATTAATAAATGAATAAATGAATGCTTGGTTAATTAGTATAATTAGTTGTTATTGATTGATCACATTAGATTGATGGTTGATAAAATAAGCATTTGATTGATTTGCTTCGCTAAAGACTAATTGGCTGAAGAAATGAATTATTGATTGGAAAATAGAAAAATGAAGAAATGAACGAAGAGATGAATGAAAAAATGAATGAGTATGTGAACAAATGAATGAAAGCTAGAACCAAGGCATGAAGTGAAGAACAAACGAACGAATCAAAAAATAAATTAAATTTACCAAACGAACAAATGAATGAATGTATGAATGAATGATATAACCAATGAATGATTGATTGATTGAATGAATGAATGATATAACAAATGAATGATATAACAAATGAATGATATAACAAATGAATGAATGAAAGATAGAGTGAACGAACGAGAGAAGGGATAGATAAATGGGCCAATTGATAAATCGGCATCCAGCTCCTCTTGGTAACATACGTACGAAATATGCAATTTGTTTGAATCACTATGCTGAACAGAGCCGCTTTGATGAGTGAGTAAGGAAGGTGACGAAGACGACGACGATGTTGTTGACGATGATGACGTAAAGAAGATAGTGATGACGTAAGGATAGATACGATGGTGAACAGGAAAAGATGATGATGGTGACGATGATGGTGATGACGATGATGATCGTTAAGAAAGTGATGAAAATACGAAGACGAACCTGCTAATGACGATGGTGATAAATGATGATAAGGCAAGCATGATGATGATGCTGACGTAAAAAAGCTCATGATGCTGATGATGATGACGTAAGAAAGATCATGATGATGATGCTGATGACGTAAAAAAGATGATGATGATGATGATGATGGCAGTGACGATGATTAGGGTGATAGTGAATATCAAGATGATGATGGAATGATTGCTAGGTTGGGAGAAGGACAGTGATGGCATGAAGGAAATTCTTTCCATACAAATGTGTGGAAGGATAATAATAAATCGAACGCAACATAAATCTAATAAGATTATTACCATTTTTTTGGAAAGCAATTTTAAATCTTAACAAAATTAATCACAATTATAATTAATTCATGATAATTAATTGTGATAAGTAATTTTGCGTAAAATTGAAGAAAAAAAAATTTTTTTCTTCCAGCCACTCTCCCGCGGCCAAACATCTTCATTCCCTCGCACACGCCAACAGGCAACACAAGCCCCCCCATGCCCCCGAGGTATCCCACAAACTTCCGCAACAAAAACACCTCCAACAACAACAACAATTTCACCTCTAGCAACAACTTCGCCAACAATTTCAACAACTCGACGATATCCACTTTAGATCGACTGGGAGGGCCTGCCACGAAACGGCAGCCCCCCTCAATGACGTCAGCAGCTGACGGTGACGTGTACAAAGAAAACATGGCGAATTTTAAAGGTGGCCACTACGAATTGGATGAGAGTTTTTCAGCCAATCAGAACGCTGCCCCGAATGACGTCACCGACGATGATGATAACGATGATATTAACGACGACGACGATGATGACGATCCACGATTGAAGTACCTAGCTCAGAACGCAAACGGCTGCGTTTTTGTGCCCCCTGGTTTGTTTTTCTCCACTGTAATTAAATTTTTTATTGAAAACATTTTTTTCAAAAATTAAAAATGACATCTTATTTTTGAGTAATTTTTTTCCAATCACTTACCTGGCATCAAAGGATGGAAGATGTTACCATCATTGAAAGTCCCCAAGCAAAGCGCCTCTTTTTTATTTCAGTTTTTAATTTTCATTTTATTATATATTCATAATAATTTCGTCATTTAGTTTAGTATTTTTGTATTTTTTTCGTTATTTCATAATATAATTCTTTTATTCATAATTTAAAAGCTTTATTAATTCTTATTTTGAAAAAATATTAAAAAATGAAAAAATTCTTTCATAGGCTTCTCCTACCAGCAACATTCTAGTCCAAGTGTGGAACTGAACAGCCAATCAAATCTTTTGAGGGGTGGCACTTCGAATCTTGGTCAAACCAGATTGACCAATAACAGAGCTTCCCTAATTGGCCCCAATTCAGATGCTGTCAACGAAAAGTGAATATTTTTATCACTAATTAAATTTTTTTTATACTTTTTTATAATTAAAATCGAAACTAATTAAACTTTACACCAACACACCCTCCGGTAGATTGATACCCGCGGCTCGATCCCCCCCTTCCGGTTCAACCTTCCCGAACCACTTCCACCCGGCAAATCTTCAATCCAACCACCCTCTCCTACTCAACCACCAAACAACAAAATTGATATCAACAAACGCGACAACAGCCGATAACAGCAACAAATATTACGCAAACAACAACAGCAACGTCAACAACAACAACAACAATGACGATGATGACGTCAAATTTGTGTTTGATAAAAAGATTAAAAAGTATGTTAGTTGGAAGTGCTTGGCAGTCATTTTGGCCATCTTGTCTTTTGTTCTACTAATCATTCTCTGCTATTTTATTGGTTGGTTGGTTTTTTTGTCTCTTATTTTATTGGTCGGTGTTGTTATTTTTGTGATTTTAGTGGCTGGTTATTTTTAGTTTCTTATATGATTGGTCGGTGTAGTTATCTCTGTTATTTCATTGGTAAACGTTGTTGCTTATGTTGTTTCATTTGTCAGTATATACAAAATCATACAATCATACAAATATACAAACAAACAAACGAACAAACAAAACACACATATAAGAAAAAATACACGCGCGTACATTCATAATACAGAAACCGTTGAACTTAAGCCCCATAAAGATGAATGAATGCCTTTTTTTATATTTATACACAAATGTGATAAATTACTAAATGAAAAATGGAAAGAGAGATATATATTAATAGAAAGAGAAAGAAAGAGAAAGAGAGAGAAAGAGAAAGAGAGAGAAAGAGAGAAGAGAGAGAGAAAAGTATAGGAAGACAACTCTTTATGATTGATAACAATGTTTACATATGCAGGTACGTACCTCAGAAAGATCAACCAATCAAATTCCGATGCCAATTTATCACGTGATCTCATAGGTTTGTCATCATTATCATCATTTCCTTCATTACCTCCTCATTTATTATCATCATTCAAGTTTTGGTTGTTGTTGTTGTTGCTGCTCTTGCTATTGCTTCTGGGTATTGTTGTTTTGTATCCGGTGTTGTTTTGTGATCGGCACTACTTGCCCGTTTCATCAAAATTTCACCAATGATGTCATCATCGTCATCGCATCACTAGTGACGTCATCATCACATCATCATCATCATCATCATCACATCACTATCGTCATCACATTATAGACCCTCTTTCATCGTCATCGTCTTCATCTCCGCTCACACATTACGTCACGGGAACGACGGAGCATTTCCGGTTGCGGAGGCGAGAATCCTGGAAGACAGTGATGTACGTGATGAAATCAGTTAAATTAAAGATAAAACTGGAAGCGCCTAGAACCGCCGTGTTCGGTATTTACGGTAACCGAAACGAAATGCCGAGTCACACCCGGTTCGAATTTTTTCATCCGTTGACCGCTGCCCAGGCGAGTGAGCGACGCGTTCGTCGTCAAGTGAGGCGGTCATCCTTTCAACGTCATCGGTCCGCGAGGGAGCTACATGAGGTGGGTGGGTGGGTGGGTGTGAGTGGTGATGTCATGGTGATGGAGATGATGAATGGGATGACGATGAGGTTGATGATGAGCTTTATGTGGCTGCATGATGATGATGACGACGACGATGATGATGATGATGATTGCAATGATGATGGTGATGATGACGGTGGTCGGTTACGTTGGGAAGTTTTGTTGTTGTTTGATGATTTTGTTGTTTCAGAATTTTTATTTCCAGCTTTCGTGTTTCAAATGATTTTCAGTATTTTGAAATGTTTTTTTCCTGCCGTTAGTTTTGTATGCTGGCTGGTGGCTGGCGGTAGTTCTCGTTTTGTTCACTACCTGTTTTTATTTGTTTTTTTTACTTTTTTGTTTTACAAATAGTTTTATAAATACGTTAATTTTTTTTTGTTTTAGGACTAGACAGTTCATCTCTTCATTTCATTATCTCATTCTTCTCTCTCTCTTGTCTGCTTTTCTCTCAATTTCTACATTTTTCTCTCTCTCTCTCTCTTTGTTTTGCCTTTTTTTTCTATGTTTTTGTATCGGTTTGTCTTTTTGCCTGTTTCTGTCTCTCTCTTCGTTTCTTTTCCTGTTGTTGCTTGTTCGTGGCTGGTTCACTTCAGGGCCTGTTTTATCTCTTAGCAGGAGTTGATGCGCAAATAATTTATATCTCGTTCGTTCGTTCTTGTTTTTATTATTATTGTTGTTGCTGTTGTTGTTGATGTCGTTGATGTTGATGTGTTGTTGTCATTATTGTTTTCTTTATTATTTTATTTCGAATGATTTCTCTAATTTTTACGCTGTTTTTGTTGTTACATCATATGGGAATAAGATACAAAGATACACGTGTGTACCAGCTAGGATACGCTTCTCGAAAAAAATTATGGAATAGGTAGATAGATGGAGATTTGTATCTGTATTTTTTCACGGTTTTGCCGTATCGCTTGGTATTCTCATATGATATGATTATGTTTTTGTTTGTATTTCTTGTATTATCGCTGGTATTTTGTGTATTATCGCTAGTATTTTGTGTATTATTGAAAATAGTTGTTTAATATTGAATTGTGAGTTTTGTGTAAGGTTTATTATTCAGTTAATTAAACTGATTACATGTTATATTTAATTGATAGTTATTTGCTACTCAAGAAATAAACTAATTAAATAATTACTTTTAAGATAATTAAATTTTTTTTTAAAAGATATTTCAAACGAAATAATGTACATTCTCTGAAAACTTAACACTGCTATACGAAAAACAAAGATAAGTAACATAAAAAAACTAATAAACCAAAAAAAAACAATGAAAACAAATTTGTACATTAATACATGTACTTAAATTTGTATCAAATGCACAAACAAAAATACAAAGACTGAAACCAGAAATACAAACAATGAGCTTGTATTTGTATTAAAAGTATAAACAAACAAACATGCAAACAACAGAATTCGAGTGATTTATAGTTTTTCCCCTAAGAGGTATTTTTAAGTTTTGGAAACAGCCCGCTAAAGAATTTAAAATAAAATAAATTCGTATGAAAACGCAGAAACTATTTCTCTATTTGTTTACTACTTCGTTTGTTGTGATTGTTGTTTTTGTTGAGGTTGATGTACACATACATACACACATTCAAACACACACACATACATACATACATCTACGCTTACTTGCATGATTGTTTAGTTATTCACTGATTTCTGATGGATAAGCACAACACAACCGCTTCAGACAGGTTTTATTAAATGTTTATTCAATGCAAGTTATTTTTGTAGAGCATTTCACCTTTATGTTTTTTCTTGATGTTGAAACCAACTTTTGTTTCAGCTTTCTGGATTTTGCGTATTTGAGAATCTTTGGTCTGGTAAGTTGTTTTAATTAAAACAAGATATCAGTCCTGACCCTCTTCTCACCTGGGTTTCCATTTTGATCATCATATCGCCGATCGTTACGAGTAGTTGGATGCAGGGCTTTGACCATAAGTTCTGTGAAAATCTATTTCAATTTCAGTTGGCTCTCTCCTGATATTTGATTCGAAGTAATCAATTATCTATTTTTGCACTTCTGGACGTACGTCTTTCTCATACTCTTTTGTCATACTTTTGTAAAAATCATTTACGATCATTGAACAAAGAATCAAAAAAACAATTTGAGAATCCCATAAAGAATCGCAAAGAATAAGCATTAATTCCACGATACGATTGTGAAATAGTCGATTTTGTAGAATACAACATTACAGGCACGTACGCATGCAAACATACATACTCAAAAACATTTAGAAATGAAGATAGACAAATATGACTGACAAATGATTGACAGCAGAGTTAGCAAATGAAACATTCAAAACACAAACAAACATGTTGCAATTAAACAAGCCAACAAAAAAACAAAGTTTATTTAGAATCATAAAAAGTTAAACACACAAACAAACAAACAAATGAACAGACAGACCAGACAAACAGACAACAAAAAAACATACAAACAAACAACTTAGTGACTAAAACAAATGTTTGCGCATTTGCAAATATGCAAATCTCTCGTAAAATGTCAGAAAATATTTTTTTGTTTTTTTCTTTTCGTTTTTGTTTTGCTTTTTTTGTTTTTTTTTCTTGCAAAAAGCAGAAAAAATGAACAGATGTCTATTGAAATTATTCCTTACATGGGAGATGAAGCTACATAAACAATGCGGCTATGTTCAATAAATTTTTCCAGTCATTTGTACCCGCGAAAATGGGCACATACATGATTATATACTAACGTACAATAGTATACACGCATATACTAGTGTATATATACGCATATATATAAACAAACACACATATATACAAACATACAATGATACACACATTACACATACAAAGCCTTTTATACGCACATCAAAGTACGAACATACAATGTTAATATTTTCGATTCGGTAAATAATTTATTTTAATTCAATCAATAATTATTATTAGCTTTATTTGAGTCGTGGAGTATCCTGGATTGTACTGAAGATATACATTTCATCGTTAAAAACTAGTACGAACTTGCGTTCTATAAACTATCACAATAAATGTTGGTTCGTGTTAGAGGTATTAGAGAAATATGTACAAAATGGCCTTACAACAACTGTACAACAACGTAAGTACAACCGCTTTAGTACAACAAAAGCAGCAGTACAAGAGCAGTAGCTTGGATGTACGACGTGCAGTAAACTAACCGGCGATCAAGTGAAAGTAGATTTTAACGGGGCACGTACCACCAATGCTGCTAACTTTAAAACTTTTTTTAATGTCTCCAGTCCAGGCTGAATGGCATGCTGACATGAGATGTCACGGTTCTTTTTAGTGTTGTTGTTGTTGATGTTGGCCATGTTGTTGTTGTTGTTGTTTTTGATGTTTTAGTTGTTGATGTTTTTGAATGAAAGTTGTGATCCCGTGTTTTCTCCTTGACCCATTTTTTTGCGTCTTTTTAATTAATGTCAATAGAATGATGTTTCAATTTTCGCTACTATAACAGATGTTTTTTAGTTCTTGCTTAGTTTTAATGTGACCAATTGTTGTTGTTGTTGTTGTAACAAATTGTTGTGGTTGATGGTTGTAATAAATAGTTGTTGGTTAGTTGAAGTGAGTAGTTGTTGATAGTCATTTTAATGAACTTTAAAGTCAGCCGGCATCCAAATTTAATGAGAGTATCACGAAGGTTATACATACGCGTCCGTCCTTGTGTTGGTGTTCGTTCGTTCGTTTGTTCGTTTGTTCGTTCGTGTGTTTGTTCGGTTGTAAGTTTGTTCATTTGTTTGTCTGTTTGGCTGTTAATTTGTTGATTTGCTTTTTTAAAGTATCAATTTTGAAGATAATTAAAGAACAAAAAAAGTAAAATTTTCAAATTAAAAAAAAATTTAAATTGAAATCAGATTTTAATTTTTTTATTTTTATTTTATAATAATACAAAACACACACACACACACAGAGACACACACACACAAACACACACACACACATTCGTAAATGCATGTTTATGATCAACAGATAGGCGGATGAATGGATGAATAGGTGGATGGATGTAGTGTAGTGTTCAAAAAGTAAAGTTTCATGAAAATATTTGTTGCACTGAACATGAGACTGCAAAAAAAACAACAAAACAAACAACAGCAACAACTACAACAGCAACAACAACAACACAGACAACACAGACAACATTAACAACAACGCAAACAACATCAACAGCACAAACAACATCAACAGCACCAACAACATCAACAGCACCAACAACATCAACATGACATCAACAAATACGCTCCGTGTATTCCGTGAGTGGAAATAATTTATTGCATAAATGCACTTTTAAGCGAATGGGTGCGCTAGGGATGCACGTTAATATTTAAAATGAACAACAACAACAAGCAAAGACAAACAAACAAACGAACAAAGGTGAACAACAGCAAACAAATGAAAGTGAGCAAACTAGGCAAACCCGCTGTTTTGGTGCGTTTTTCAATGTATCTTATTCAGCCATTACGTTAAGTTGTATCACATTAAATTACATTACGTCAGAGTACATTATATCAAGATAGAAACTATCATGATACCGCATCAAACTCACTCACACTAGAACTACTCAACAACGCATTCATACATTTAGGTGCACACACACAAACAATTGCACACACAGAGTGTGTGTGTGTGTGTTTCATTACATTTCAGTACATCAATGTTGACGAGTGCATCCAAACATGCATCATTTGTTTCGTTACACAAACAGATATTCCTCACATGCTCAAAACACGTACATACATATAAATTCAAAAACACATATACATGCATTACACACACACATACACACACATACATACATATATACACAAACTCACGCACACACATACATGCATAATTACAAAAAGAGATGTGTACTGGCACAGTTCACTAATTTGCACCGAATTTCAAATGCGCTTAAAATGAACGCAATATTTTCTAATTTAAAATTTTAAGTTTCAAATATAATTCAAAACGTCGAACTAAAGCAAAAATACGCCAATACCAGCAAATACAAAAAAGATGTTTGTAAAAAATACAAATACAAATATTTTTTTCTTCACTTTTTTATCTAGGTTGGTAGAAGTTAGCCAACGTACGAAAGGATGGTGCTGTGTTGGAAAGCAATGAAATACATTTCAATTGGAATAGTTGCTTTTTGATGTCGCTGATGGGGCTCTGCTGTTGTTCAATTTAAACAAAAAAAAAGAGAAAAAATGAGGAAGAGAGGGAGAGCTAGAAAAACAGAAATAGAGAAAGAGAGAGAGAAAAGGGAGATAATGAAGAAGAAGACTAAGAAAGAAAAATGACAAAAAAGAGAAATGACAAGAAATAGAGATGAAGAAAGAGAGAACGATTGTGTGTGTGTGTGAGAGAGAGAGAGAGAGAGAGAGAGAGAGAGAGAAAGAGAAAGAGAGAGAGAGAGTCAGAAAGAAAAGGAGTGATAAAAAATATGAAGATGAAGAAAGATAGATAGATAGAGAGAAAGAGAGAGAGAGAGGGAGAGAGAGAAAGAGAGAGAAAACACGAGTGAGAAGGAAAGAAATAATCAGAAGTACAAAAATTTTGAACCAGGAAAAAATATATGACTGCAATAACAGACGACAAAAATTTTGTTAGAAAATGAATAAATAGATCTACCAAATAAATAAACAAATGAATGAATGAATGATTTGAATGAATAAAGGAATACACGCACAAATGATGAATTGATGAATTAATTAATTAATTAATTAATGTGAAAAAATATGTGAGCAGTTATACAAATTTGGCGGATGAATAAGTTAAGCTATCATAACAACTAACAAATAAATAGGATATTGAATAGATAAATGGATGAATGAACATATAAAGTAGATAAAGAGATAGTTAGTTAGACAGACAGACAGGTAGATAGACAAATTCATAGACAGACAAACAGACAGACAGATAGATAGTAGATAGATACTTAGATCCAGGCGGTAACGTCTACAACAAATCATTTACGCAGTTTATAAGTAATTTATTGGAAAAAGCGTCCCTGATTATTTATCATACATGGGTCTTACGTGCGTGCGTGTATCCGCTTTCAGAAGGCCATCTTGCCTTTGCTATCTTTCTTTATTGGTATCTATCCATACAAGTTAGAGTTATGCTTAAGGATATAAGACGGATGAATTGGGATTAAGTGGGTGAGATGTTGATGTGGAGATGAGGAAGAGAGGAAGAGAAAGAGAGAAAGAGAGAGAGAGAAAAAAAGAGGGAATGAGTCTGTAAAATGTAAAGAAATAAAAAAAGGAAAGCAAGAGAGAGAGAGAGAGAGAGAGAGAGAGAGAGAGCAATAAAAATTGAAGAAATGAAAGAATAAAGAGATAAGAATGATATAGCCAGTGGGTAGATAATATAATATGAAGATGCTGACAAGGGAGGGTTCATTTATACAATAATGTCTGTCATATGCATGATGCATCAAAAAGAAATGGCTATAATAACGATGATGTTTCTAAATATGACATTGAATGTAGTGACGATGATGAGAAAGATGATGATGTGATGATAATGAATATGATGATGACGACGATGATGATGATGAGGAGGAGGAGGAGGAGGAAGACGATAAGGATGATGAATAAAATGATGGTAATGATTATGATGATGATGGTGATAATGACGAGTAATAAAAATTTCTTTGTATTCGGTATTGCTGATGTTGTTTTAATGTTTTTGTAGAATTCTTTCTTGTGAAGCATTTTTCATTTTCTGTTTTTTTCGCAAATTACGTTAATAATATAAATAATTCAATTTTTGTTATTTTTTGTTGTTTAGTTCATTGTTTAATTTTTCTGATATTTTTTCAGTCCTTTGTCTATGTTTATCTTTGTTTTATTTTCATTGATGTTTCTTTCGTTTTTTGTTTGTTCGTTCATTCATTTATTTTTTCATCAGTTTATTTATTTGTTTAGTTTTATTATTTTTTTATTTATTTATTCATTCATTCATTTAATTCATTTCTACTAGTTTTCATTCTTCGTTCGAATGTTGAAGTTATATTTTTGTACGATGAGATAAAGAGATGATGGATGGACGAACAGATAAATGAATTGATGGATGAATGAATTGATGGATGAATGAATTGATGGATGGATGAATTGATGGATGGATGAATGAATGAACGAATGAATGAACGAACGAATGAATGAATAAATGAATGAATAAATGAACGAATGAATGAATAAATAAACGAATGAATGAATGAATGAATAAAAAAGAATACTCGTTAATTACAAAAGAATTGCAGAAATTGTGGAAAAATTGAATGAAAGAACGAATGAACGCTTCAATTTTTTTTGTGTTGATTCGCTTCTAACACAACAAAAAAGAATGAATTAATGAATGGATGGAGGAATGGATGGATGAATGGATGAATGAATGAATGAATGAACGAACGAACGAATGAATGAATGACTGAATGAATGAATGAATGAATGAATGAATGAATAAATGAATGAATGAATGAATGAGAATGAATGAATGAATGAGAATGAATGAATGAAATTTTTAGCTCAAAACATTAAGGACGAACCAATAATAAAATTAATTTTTTAACGACTAAATAAATAATCGAATGTATGACTGAAGTTTTAAATTAATATATTGAATAAATAAAATATACGATAAAAATATTAAATAAACAATCAAAAAACAAGCAAACGAATGAACGAACAAACGATGGAAAGTATGAACCAATGAACGAATGTATGAACGAACGAACGAATGAACGAACGAACGAACGTTTCATTGAGTTTCAGTATGAAATGATATAATGCATGATTGATTGATTTTACTTTTGGGCATTTGAATTGTAGGATTACAATATTTCGAATAATTATTAATAACTCGATCGTAGCATCATCATCAACGTCATCATCATCGTCGTCATCATCATCAACAACAACAACAACATCAATTACATCAAAAATAACACTAATAACATTAACAATCTCCATACCATATTGACTTTTTTGAAACAATCGTATGTAATGATACTTCAATCACATCACATTCCTGTAAACATTTACGCCAGTGCAACCTTAAATGGCATCAACTAAAAACATTCCATTTTCATCAGGACGACACAACAACGTCGGCAGAAGCGGCAGTAGCAGCAGCAGCTACGTTTGACATCAGCCAACAGCTGGAGAGTGGCTTGTGGTATGTTTCGCTCTACAATGACGAATCATCAGTTGATGGCTTCTTCAAGTTTTATGCTCATGTTCTTGGTTGGTTGTTGATGCTGTTGTTGTTGTTGACGTTGCTGTTTTTGATGCTTTTTGTTGTTGCTGATGTTGTTGTTGTTGATGTTGTTGTTGATATTATTGTTGTTACTACTACTACTTCTACAACTGTGATACATAAGTAGTGCTGGAGCATAAGTGATGTTAATAATTATCATTGTTATAATTATCGTTACTCAAAAGATGACATCAAAAACAAAGATGATGATGACGACGACGACGATTGTGGTCACAATTGTAGCAACAAAGGCGATTGCGTGGGCGGAAGATGCAGATGTCAATATGGTTTTGCCGGAAGGTACTGCCAAGAAGGTAAGCTGATTGAGGGAGTGAGTGAGTGAGTGAGTGAGTGAGTGAGTGAGTGAGTGAGTGAGTGAGTGAGTGAGTGAGTGAGTGAGTGAGTGAGTGAGTGAGTGAGTGAGTGAGTGAGTGAGTGAGTGAGTGAGTGAGTGAGTGAGTGAGTGAGTGAGTGAGTGAGTGAGTGAGTGAGTGAGTGAGTGAGTGAGTGAGTGAGTGAGTGAGTGAGTGAGTGAGTGAGTGAGTGAGTGAGTGAGTGAGTGATTGGTTGTTTGAATGAAGTTTTTGCTTATTGTTAGTTGATTGGCTGATTGGATGGATGAATGGATGGTTGGCTGGTCGGATGATTGATCGATTTTCTGGTTGATTAATATTATATATTACTGACTGATTGATTTACCGCTTATCAATAATAATATTTTATTATACTGACACACACACACACACACACACACACACACACACACACACACACACACACACACACACACGTACGCACATATACACACGCACACGTAGCGGCCTGTGTGAAAGAATGCAATGGCAGAGGTCTGCATGCATCTGGCCACTGCATATGTAATGACGGATGGATGGGCAGTGATTGTGGCCTCCAAGTCAACACTAAAAACCAAATATGTCACGTGACCGGCAGCAGCAGCAGCAACAACAACATCAATAACGGTGATAAAATGAGTACCAACGTCAGCAAATTCAACAAATATAACGACAATAACAACGACATTTACGAAGACGACTACGACGACTACGACGATGACGTCATAGTGTGTCGAAATGGCGGAGTCTGTTATGATGGAAGGTGTCTATGTCCGGTGGGATTTGCCGGTGAATCCTGCAGCGTCGGTGGGTTTAAATTGTTATAATTTTTATCATCGTCATCATCATCGTCGTCGTCATCATCATCGTCGTCATCATCATCACAATGGCCATTGTACCTTCTTCAGAATGACATTCATCAAAAAGCTCCTCTGACAGTTAACGCTTCAGTCAATACCTTTCATCACCAATAAACCGATCGTCGTCATCGTCATCTTCATCATCGTCTTCATCGCATCGTCGCTTTCTTCATCATTATCCTTATTACCGTAATCATTTTTAGCTAATTACTGTCAAAATACTTAATTATATGATCAGTCTGTTGAGTTATCAATCGATGAATCCATCAACCAATCAACTTTTCAGCCGGTCAGTCAATCAGTTATTTAATTTTACCTTTCAAACGTTTGCTATACAGAAGTATGTGATCCTCCCTGTGTTAATGGTTACTGCAAGGATAGGAAATGCGTTTGTTTCGATGGTTAGTCAATCAATCAATCAATCATTCAATCAAGCACTCAACCAACCAACCAATCAATCAACCAATCAAACAACACTTAGGTTATGCCGGAATGAACTGTTCAATTCGAAGATGCGACACTCGCTGCTCTGGTATCCGTGGTACGTGCCACGATGGAGTTTGTATTTGTGGGGCTGGCTGGTATGGGACACATTGTTCTATGGGTTTGTATTGCCGTTTGTGTCGTTTGTGTGTTTGTGTATGTGTAAGTGTGAGTGTGTGTGAGTATGTTTGTGTGTGTGTGTGTGTGTGTTTGAGTATGTTTGTGTGCATGTGTGTGTTTGTTTTTTTTGTTTTTCGTTTGTTTGTTTTGCTTATTCATTAATTCAACTGGTTATTCGATGATAATTTTATTTTTTAAATCAATCAATCCATCATTCATTTATTTATTCTTTCATTAAATCAATCATTCCATCAATAAATCATTCATTTATTCATTCCTTCATTCATTCAGTTACCTCACATTTCTCATTTATTTTTCTCCAATATCACGATTCAAATTATCTCTCTATTGATCATTTCATTCATCACCTGGCAAACTTTCTTCTCTCTATTACTCCATTCTTTCATTAATTCAAGTTCTTCCTTCTTTCGTTCATTCATTTGAAATTTTTATACAATCCGAATTAACATCAACTTTGGTCCGATTGTCTTTTGATGGATATCCACTTTATTTAAAAATTCAACTCGTCAGCAAATGATGAATTACGCCTGCAGAACTGAACCACGTGTGTGTGTGTGTGTGTGTGTGTGTGTATTTGTACTGTGTATGAATGTGTGTGTGTGAGTGTGTGTGTATAAATGTGTGTGTGTGTATAAATGTATGTATGTATGTATGTATGTATTATTATTATTATTGAATTTATTATTATTGTATGTATGTATGTATGTATGTATGTATGTATGTATGTATGCATGTATGTATGTATGTTTGTATGTATGTATGTTTGTATGCATGTTTTTATAGTTAAGTTTAATAAGTTATTATAGAATTATACGAAATAAAATCTACAAATAATTTTGACGTCAGATGGCTGTCCGAACGCATGTTCGTCCAGAGGCAAGTGCGAGATGATCAGTCTGCCACCGCCGCCATCTTACTCCACATCGTCGTCATCATCATCATCATCATCATCATCATCATCATCATCATCGACGGTTATATGGAGGTGTAGATGCGATAATGGCTGGTCCGGCAGCTCTTGCAATGTGCCAGTCGAGTACCAGTGTGATGATAAGATTGATAATGATCAAGGTCTTTTGATGATGATGATGATGTTGTTGTTGATGATGATGACGATTGCGATAGTAATGATTGTAAAGATGATGATGATGATGATGATGATGATTGCGATAGTAATGATTGTAAAGATGATGATGATGATGATGATTGCGATAGTAATGATTGTAAAGATGATGAGGATGATGATGATAACGATGACGGTTGTAATGATAACGATGATGGTGGCGATGATGTCTACTTCTACTACCGCCACCACAATTACTTCACAGACACATTAGTCGACTGCAACGATCCGGATTGCTGCTCTGTTAGCAAGTGCATGAACACCATCCTTTGCAAGTCGGCCACCGAGCCACACAATCAGCTGCGACGAAATGAAGCCAGCTGCAGTACGGAAGCCTTCTATGAGAGGGTCAAGTTTCTGGTTGATGCTCAGAACGTTCAGCTGTCGGCCCATAAAGATGTTTTCAACGATTCGTTAGTTGTGTTGTTGGTTTTTGTGTGGTTGGTTGGTTGGCTGGTTGGTTGATTGGTTGGTTGGCTGGCTTGGTGGTTGGTTGGTTAGGTGGTTGGTTGGTTGGTTGGTTGGCTGGTTGGTTGGTTGGTTGGCTGCTTGGCTGCTTGATTAAATGGTTAAAGTCAAATGGCAAACTGATTAAGTGATTAATGTTGATTGGCTGATTGATATTTTAGCACTGATTAGGTTATAAAAAAAATTCCTGCAAAATTGTGATAAAAGCCGTTATTGAATGTCAGTTAAAATGACAAGATAAGAAGAAATTCTACGTGTATAACACATAAAAATAAATTTTTGATTGGCGTATTTATTCAACCAATGACAGCCAAGCTTCGGTGATAAGGGGGCGTGTCTTTGACGAAAGGGGTTTTCCACTGAAGGGCGTCAGTGTCAATGTACTGCAACAACCCATGTATGGCCACACCTACACCAGGAATGAAGGAGTGTGAGTGGATGATGATGATGATGATTATGATGATGATGGTAGTGGTTATGGTAGTGAAGAAAATGATGTTGATGGTGACGGTGAAGATGATGGTGGCAAAAATGAAACCTGTAATAGTTGAGGCGTTGATGGGGAAGATTAAAAATGTTGATGAGATAACGATGATGATGAAAGTGAAGATGATTGATAACTGTACGGAAGATGTAGGACCCGATGACGATTTTGTTGCGCTGACGTTCGCGAACGCTTTCGTGGTCGTAGAGATAAGAATCATTAATCATCTTTGTTATTTTTCCAACTACCTCGTCATCATCACTCCCATCAACGCCATGATCATCGTCAACAGTTTTGACATGTTGGTGAACGGAGGCGGTTCTCTGACCTTGAACTTTACAAGGTCGCCTTACAGGCACCAATCAAAAAGCGTTCTGGTGCCCTGGAATCGCTTTGTCCACATGGAGAAAGTTGTCATGACAATGGCGAATAGTCACTACAACGACCAACCAGATTGCGTAAACGTAGTTCACAACGTGTGTGACCTTCAACCCAGGGTTCAAACAAGATGGCAGTTTGTGGAAGGGAGTGGGGGAGTAGGAAGTGATGGTCTGATGCCCCACGTCAAGGTTTCAGTTTTCTGAAATATATTTCATTTTAAAAATTTCTTTGCGAAAATCAGTAAAAAAAATTTTGAAGTGTAAATATTTCTAATATTAAATTTATTCGTTTCATGCTAACAAAGTTGTATTTTTTGTCAGCTCTTGCAAAAGAACATACGAATACCGAATACCGCAGCACATTTGGTGTACAGAAGCAACAAGGTGCCCGGCTATTCGCATGTCATCCACGTTCATATGACGGGGAAGGTGGTGCCGAGTCACTTAATATTCGTCAGGTCGGTCGGTTGACTGGTTGGATGGTTGGTTGGATGATTGGTCGGTCAGTTGGTTAGTTGGATGGTTGACTGGTTGGATGGTTGGTCGGTTGGTTGGTTGTCTGGATCGATTGATAAATTATTTAGTTGAATGGTTTGGATATTAATTTATATTGTCAATTAAATTTTTGTTTTTTTTAAAAAAAGATTATTTCAAAAATAATCCGTTCTTAAAACTAATTACCGATAAATTTAACCGACGAGCAGGTTGCACATTCAAATAGAAGGCGTCGATCACGAACGAATATTCGAATCGGATCGCATGCTTCGATACGTATTCGCTTGGGAACCGAAAAACGTGTACAAGCAGACGGTATTCGGTATCGTCGATGCAGTCGGTCGGTATTTTCAATCATTCATTCAATCCAACTTAATTTAATTATAATTACCATGTGGTTTATTTCCAATAGAATAATTACTACGAAGGATCTAATTATTTTTTTTGACTCAACATAAAAGCACGATACAATCAACAAACTAGCCCTGACCCAATTAACAATCATGACCTAGTTCCTATGTAACCTACAGTTCTGATTGGCTACGAGTACCGGAATTGTGGCAGGATATTTTGGGAGAAGAGGACAGTGAGGATGAGCGGGTCCGAGATGTCCTCATCAGGAATGGGACTGTTCAACCTACACATGCACCATGCTTACAATTACCGGGATGGTCAGTTGTTGTGTGGTGGTGATGATATTGATGACCATTTTTATGGTGGCAATGATTCTTGTGATGATGATAATGATAATGATGATGATGATGATGATGATGATGATGATGATGGGGGTGATGATAATGATGTTAAATATGACGACATATTAAAGTCACAAATTGATGAACATGGAAGTTTTCTTTTAATGTTGATGACAAAAATGAAAATTGACAACAACAACAACAACAACAACCACTTACAAAGGTATTTTGCACAAAGGCGATGGCAGCATAATGTACCTTAAGGGTCTTCTCTACCAGCTGAACACAGTTGTAGGAACCGGCAAAACTCGCAGACCAGACTGCAACGACTGCAGTGGTGATGTGCACAATGCAAAACTGTTCGCGCCCGTCAGCCTGGCCAGTGCCAGAGATGGCAGCCTGGTGATTGGAGACTACAACTTCATACGGCTCTTCAATGCTAACAGAGATGCAATCAACAATATACTGCAGCTAGAGTTAGAGTTGTCATATTACTTCTGAATAAATTTTTTTTAATAATTTCTGTAAAATTCAGTATATATATTAATTTTTTTCAACTTGGTTATAAATAGCCCGCAGGAATTTTCCCACAAATATCACATGACCATAAGTCCTGTGGACGGATTGCTGTACGTAAGTGATGCCATCAACCTCAAGGTCATCCGGGTGAAACACATGGCGAGGTCAGATCATCTGAAAGATAATTTTGAATACGTTGTTGGAACTGGAGAACAGTGCTATCCAGGTGATGCCGACAACTGTGGAGATGGAAAGCTGGCCAAATATGCCAAGTTGTCTTATCCTAAAGGTGTGCTTGATGGCTTTTCTTCGTTGATGAACACGAGTGCAATGTTTCATATTTTTAATTACATTGCGTTATCACTGTTTGAACCATCTTCGTCATTATCTTCATCTTCTTCATCGCCATCTTCATCTTCGTGCGATCCAGGTCTAGCCATTGACAGGGACAACATATTGTACATAGCTGATGGGGCCTTCGTTCGGTACGTCGATACACTGAACAAGATCCACACGCTCATCGGGTCGAACAAATTCCCGGAACTGTGGAGTCCATTCCCATGTTCCGGAGCTCTTCCCGTAGATAAGGTAATTCTCTCTCTCTCCTCTTTCTCTCTTCTCTCTCTCTTCTTTCTTTCTCTCTCTCTCTCTCTATTTATTTCGCAGCTTTGACATGCGCAGAACCGGACAGATAATATTCGAAAATTTAAATTTTTATAAAAAATTAATAATGTATTGAAAGAAATAAATAATTAACTATTAAAAATGGAAGGTTATTAGTTAAAATTTATAGGAAAAAATTATTTCGAAGGTTAAACTACAATGGCCCACAGAGCTCTCGATCAATCCGTTGGATAACTCGCTGCATATCTTGGATAACAATCTCGTGTTTAAGTTGACGCACAATAATCAGGTGAGTTTCGACAATGACGATGACGATATTAATGAGTGATAATGAATATGATGATGTTGTTTGCTATTTCGAGAACGATGACTATAAAGAAAATGATGAAGTTACTGTGATAATAAAATAAAGAAAAAACAATGATTGTGATGGGGATGAAAATGATGGTGATGACAAAAATGTTGGTGGAAATGATTAAAACGATCAACCGATAATAACATGAATTAGAGATATGCTGTCATCGTGAATTTTGCATCCAATCAATTTATCTCAATCATCTTAACAGTTGATGCTCATAGCCGGAAGACTTCTATACTGTTTCGGAAACACTTCATCATCGTCGTCATCATCATCATCCATCTCATCATCATCTTGTTCTTCCCCAGCTTCCTCTTTATCTTTTTCATCTTCGTCGTCATCATTTTCATCATCAACCGAAACGATTTTGGAGAGTGTGCAAGATATTAGTCACTCCTACGATGGTCAGATGTATATTGTCGAGAGTGATGGCAAAAAGTTGAACAGGGTATTTTGTAATTCTTTCATTTTTCTGATTTTTTTGGAAAAAATTGTATTTCAATGATGATAATAAAACCGAAAATCGGTTAAAATTTAAAAAAAAATTTTATCATTTTTTTTGTTATGTTTGTTTCAAAAAAAATTCATTTTTTAAAAATATATGAAAATGTTTCAAAATCTATCAACTTTTGTATTTCTCCACAGATTAGAAAACTTGACAACCAAGGAAATTTAGTAAACTTTGTTGATTCAACGAAAGGCTGTAGTTGCATCCTTCAACAATGCGCTTGTTTGCAGCCCGAAGACCAACAACAGTCGCAACAGCAGCAGCTACAGCAGCAACAACAGCCGCAAGATTCATCCAGACAAAGTCTCTCCATGTTCAAACATCTTACATCCGTTTGTGTTTCTCCAAATGGGGTTGTCTATGTGGCAGATCTCGGCAGTTTCAAAATCTACTCAATCACTGATAAATTACCAGGTTGACTGCATTAAACCACGTAGTAATGTTTTACAATTGTATTTGTTTAAGTTTTAGTTTAATTGCTAAAATTTGTCTGGTTCTTGCAAAGTTTGGATAGTCTGCATTTTTAGCTATAAAGTTTTAAAAACCTGCTGTTTTTAAAATTGTATAGTTATCTAGCTACATCCACATGATCTATACAGTTTATTTTCAACCTTTTTCCACACCAATAAACGAAATAGTTCCGCAAGAATTCAAACAGTACGAGGTCCTGGACACGAACTCCATGCAGTTGCACGTCTTCAACAAGGAGAGTCTGCACAGATTCACTAAGAACATCTTGACGGGCAGCTACATCTACAACTTCACCCACTCCAACAACCTCTGCCACGGAAAACTCAAGAGTGTCGTCGATGAATTTGGCAATTCAGTCACAATCGGTCGCGACTACAGAAATGTGGGTTTCATTAAAATAGGATTTGTAAAAGTTGAAATTGCACTCATTTTCATGCACATTTGAAATGAGAACGAACTTACCGTAAAGCAATTTATCTTTGTTACTTTACTTTCAATGAACTATATAACTTCGTGCCACTGATGATTTCATTTCGCACAGCTTCCGAACGAGCTTGTAGTCTCGACGACTGGAAAGAAGCTTCAGTTCCACTTGAATCCATCCACACAGATCGTCTCCATCGTACAAACCTATCAGAATAAAAACAAAAACGAGAAGTTGAACAAGAATGCAATGACAAACATCAACACTGACAACATCAATAATTACAAATCTGTTACTTTTTCATATTTCGGCAACGCCGAATTAATTTCATCCGTCAACCAATCAGATGGGAAGAGGTCAAAAATCGACCAATACCGTTATGACGATTTGGGTCGTATTAAGGCATTGACCAATCATGACAATCCATCCTTAAACCTTCTCCAATTAGAAAACGCCATCCAAGTTGAAAATTTGAACGGTGTACCAATGAAAATAAGTAGCGAACGTTATAGCACTACTATTAATATCGGTATGGGAGAATAAACTTTAATTAATTTGACTCTTTAATTCAGTTAACTTATAAGACGTTTGATGATAGGAAAATGCATTGACAAATTAAAAATATTTCAAAACGACAGTTTTTATTCTAAATTTTCAAATTTACTTTTCCTAATGCAGATCAATTTCGCGCCAGGATCACGAACACACCGGACGATAAGCATGTCGCCGAGTACCCTACGTTGGGGGTCGTTGCCATGGTCACCACCCAGCCATGGCCTGTTCTCAACTTCGATCTGCCCATCTCAGTTACAAAAAAGGTTGGCTAATGTTTCAACGATCAAAAGTTCTCTCAAGTTATCGGGTTTTTAATTATTTTTCATCATGTCTATAGCATGAATATTTCATCTTTTTTTCAACCTAAACAGACAACACTAACCTCCAACAACAAAAACACCAACTTGATGCACGTTCTCGAATGGTTCTACTACCAGAAGCGACCAGCCACAACAACCACAGCCACCAACAACCAAATTAAGAGAAGGCTGTTCTCAAGTAGGGACGAAGCAATGAACAGTGATGGGAGATCTCACGAATATATCGGCGATGAAGATGACGACGACGATGACGACGATGATAATTACGATTATCCCGGAAGAATAATGGAGCAAAATTTTTATCATCCCTCACAGCCACTGAATCAGCAGCAAGGACCTCAAAAATTATCCTCCTCCTTTGGCTACATGGGCAAGATGCTCTCAGTCAGAATTTGTTTTTTATAAATTCTCGAGTTTCAGACATTCGTTAATTTACACGTTGCACGTTATTGCATTTATTTATTTATTCATTCATTTATTTGTTTATTCATTTACTCAGACTCAACTCGAAAATGTTTGTTCGTCGAAAAATGCGTTTCCATGTCAACCCCTATTTAATTAATCTCTCAATTAAACAAACCGACAACCAATCACATTTCCAGGTGAACGGCCAGCAGGTGCTATTTATAGAATTCAACCGCACAACTTACTCTGACGTCATCATGAATAAAAATGGCGAGGAATTATTTACAGTGAGATACGACAAAGCCGGTCGAGTCGTGCAAGCCGACACGAACAACCACCACGTGCAGAAATTAATTCCCGCCCTCACAAAAAATTACAACCACAACGGCCATCTTGTTTCTGAAAAAATTGGCGGGAAGAACGTGGCCTATGAATACACTGAAAAAGGCGGGAAATTAGCGCAAGTTAAAATTGGCGGCAACGTTAAATGGAAGTACTCATACGCCGGTGGTGATGGCGATGAAGTTAGTTGGTTCTTTTGTTTTTGTTTTTTTGAAATTTTCTATATTAATTTTTTGAAATTTGTCTTAGAATAGCACCACAGAATAATTTTGCAATTCAGAGCAATTATTAATATGTCTCCGGTGCGTTGGACGTAATCATGCAAAGCACCCATGAAACATGACACTGATGATCTAATTTAAAATCAAAACGCATCCCACAGCTGCTAACCTCGAGAACATCAGCGAGGGGATCAACTTACAGATACGAGTATGATTCGTCGGACCGCCTCACAACCATCAGCTTGCCCGACAAAACGACGACACACACCTTCCACGTGCGTCGTGTCTTGGGTCAGTCGGCAATCATATACACACCTCCTGGCTTCCATCACAAGCACGCAATCCGTCTGCATGTGGATGTCAGTGGAAACATCAACAGCTTGTCTTACGCTAACTCAAACAAAATCGTCCGATACAGGTACGCGAATACGATCAGACTGATGAAATTGAGCCGACCTGCATTGATGAGCAGGAAGGATCACATGCAACTCTTGCTGACGTTTGATGAAACCTCCATACTGTACACACGCAACGACCAATCGACCTTGATGAACGGATATTACTTGGAGAGCCTCCAGCCAAACAGTAGCAGCAGCACAACTCAACCAAAAACATCAACAGATTATTATCACTCATACATCAAACTCGACGTTGGAAGCATGCTCTGTAGGTGGCAAATCAACGAATTTGATTTCACTCGCAACAACAACAACAGCGACAACAACAACGACATAACAAAACACATCAAACGAGTCGACTACCGATACACTTATGACAGAAACTTCAACCTGGCCAGCGTGTCAGCCACTTTTGCCGAACTGTCCGCTCAAACGATCAAATTGGAATTCGAATACGATCTGGAAAGCGGTCGAACACGAAGAATGAATCACTTCAACATACAGTGGGAACAATTCGCCACAAAACGATCAATAAAATTTCCTGGCGCAGCAGAGTTTGTGACATCTTGGGAGGATAACGGCGACAGTAAGTCAGAGTGGTTAAGTCTCACAAGTGAGTCCTACATTTTTGAGTCTGTGAGTCGGTACGACGACATGGGACGCTTGCAGCAGTGGCAGCAGAAGCTCGGTCTCGGCGACAAACTTGTAACTTACTTGTACCTGTACAATGAAGATGATCGAGTTACCGAAGTGACGGTGAATGGTAGGTCGACGTGGAGGTACTTCTACGATCAGAATGGCGCCATCACTGAAGTTTCTCACTTTGCTCAAAAGCGTGCACTTGTTCGCGAACTAGACGAAACGGGATTTGTGAGAAGTTTGAATGATAAATATTTGCTGGAGCATAACTCAATGAGTCAGCTGGTGGCAATCAGAAACTATTCAAGTGACGCTAAAAAGGAAACTGATAAGCAAAGTGATGTACCTCTCGTGTCGGTATTGTACGATTCAAAACAACGGCTCGTAATGTTGAAATATCGAAACGGTCGGTTCATACAATACTTTTACTCACATCCATACAAAGAGCATCTAGTAACACATGTGTACGATAGCGATCACAAATCAATTTATCATTACTATTACCACAACAACGAAGATGATGATGATGATGATGATGGTGGTGGTGATGATGATGGTGGTGATCGAATATTTGCTTGTCAGAACGGAGATGATATGTTCTACATCATGACCGACTTATTCGGCTCGCCATTGGCTGCCACCAATCACGTGGGTGACCTCATTTACAGAATCATCTACGACCCGTTAGGAAACATCGTAGGTTAGGAGGAAACATATTTCAATCATTTTCAAACATTTCAATCCTTCAGACAACTGATTAATTAAAAATTAGTTAACTGATTTATTAAAACAATAATTATTAAAAATAAAATTTTCAGAAGAGAACAAAAAATCGTCCTTCCCAATGCATTTTGGGTTCAACGGGGGAGTACGGGAGCCCCAAACGGGCCTGGTGTACATGCGGGGCGGTCGATGGTTTGATTCTTACAACGGCAGGTACACCGCTCTCCTTGATGCAAACCATCTTCACAGTCTTCATCGTCATCAGCATCGTTATCATCATCTATCTACTGATAAGATGTTCATTGATGCGAAGTTTTTGAATCCATTTGCTCTGCACATTGGAGCCTGGAAGATTGGAAAGATTAAATCTTCAGGTTTTTAACTCTCGTTTTTTCATATATGAAAATTCGTGTTTCATTTTTTAACAGTTTGATTGTAATAAGGTATTGTCTATATTAATTAACGTTCATTGGTTGGATTCGTTCGTTTTTAAACCATTCATTCGTTCATTCATTCATTGGTTTATTTATTCATTCATTTTCAAACCGTTCATTCATTCAATCAATCTAAAAAGGAAAAATCCCAGCTGTCCTCCAATCATTACGCTACAAACTAAATCATCTAATGCCTTACACCTCCCTTTTTGGTGACGTCAGCATTCGACAGCCAATGAACGACGAGGCAACATCGTCATGGCATAGGGAATTATCAAACCTCGCTCAGCTACTGGTGTGCTCTTACGAGAAAGAATTCGTTGCAAGGTTTCGAAGATTTTCTTCCATGGTTCGCTCAGCTCTGTCGGCCTTGAACTTGGATGACGAGGAGGGTGAAGGCATGGGATGTGAGGTTCCAACCACGCTATTGTTCGAATCCATGTCGACCTCAAACTCCTTACCAGATGATTTGACATTCACATTTCTCCCCAGTGGGGAAGTTGTATTCCAGCATTCGTCGTCGTCATCGTCGGCTGTTGGTTCACTATCCAGTCACTCGTTCTCATATCTCTTCGCTCAACTATTCAACAAATCAAAAATTGATTTCGAAAGACTTGCTGGTGATTACACTGACGATGACGATGACGTCAACGATGACGATGATGTGGGTACATTGAAGTTGTACTTTGTAAAAAGGGTCAGCGAGGAAGAGATGAAGTCAGAAACATACTCCTTGGAGTTTGATCAGACCATGTCCAACAACGGATACCTCATAACGAAGTATCTCCAGAACGCCGACCGGAAAAAGGAAAACAATGACGTCATAGTTAAAGTAGACAGCGATAAATTTAGAATCCAACTTCGGTACTTAGTCAAATATTAAGTCTTCTAATTTAGATTTGTTGATAAAATTTGTTTCAAGATTCCAACACATTCAAGACAACGTGCATGTCGGTGCATTATGTGAAATTCTTATTTACGTCATGAATGACGTCATTTTAAAATGTGCGAAACGAACGACCGAGCGAACTCGTAGAACATGCACATACATACATAAATACACTCCCTCAAAGCGAACAAATGCCAAAGAACATATAAAAATCTCGTTGTTTTTGTCATTTCAGTTCATCTATTCAGATACACGCGGTTCTTGTTGTTCAATAGACGTTTATGTATCTTATACGTGCCTCTTATAACTTCAATTTTCAATTTGTATATGTATGTATATACAATTACATACGCACACAAACACACATGCACACAAACACACACACACACACACACATATATATATATATATATATATATATATATATATCATTATTTGTAAAATGTTTTCTAGACTACAGTTATTTTCATTAATAATGATCGTAATTGTTAATATAAATACATATAATCAATTAATTAACTATTTAGTTAATTAATTAATTAAGTAATTAACAGTGTTGCTATCGTTGTTAATATTTACTTAACTTGTTGCTGCAGTTAACTATCACTTAACGTTTTAATTTTACATAAATAATATTCATTTATTTATTTATAACTTACTACTTTATTAATCAATATTTTATTTACTATTTATTGAAAATGTATTACCATTGATGATATTCATCATTAATTACTTCGTCAATCTTCACACGCAGTCTTCAGTTTAATGGTAAATTTGATACTAACACCTTAACATTCAATACCGTGGTGAATTTTTTCGTTACGCTAAGCAACTATATCATTATAAATAGGACTTCTTTTGATAAAAATAAGAGTTGAAAACTATTTATGTCATTCTAGTTTCTCAGTTTAAAAAGATGGTTGTTGTTGGCATCTTCTGTTCGTTCTGATTCCTAAGTTCACAAAGATGGTTGTTAGCGATTAAACCGAACAGATTTACCAGCTAAAAAAGTTCAATTAATTAATTAGCTGATTAACCGAAGTGACTAATTGACGATTGTTTAATTATTTAGTAAAAGTAAATTATAAACTGGCATTGTCGTGCCTTCTTAATTAGTACAATCTATCTGTAATCTATCTTAAAAGTTCTCGTCGTTACTGGCTTTCTGTTAGTATGCCGCTTGGCTACTTTGTATGTTTCGCGCGCGCCCCACCTATTATTTTCATCCGTTTGTCTTCTTGAATAATTTTCCAATCATTTCCATTTGAGGTATATATATATTTGTGAATATAATATATATATTTCTCTCTTCAATCGTTTTGTATTCTTGTTTAAAAAAAAATTTCTGTTGAATGTCGTGTTGTTTCATGCAATTTATCAGTTGTTTTTTAATCATTTATAATACTGACGTATCTGTATATGCATCCACTATACAAACACACACAAACACACATACACTAATACATCTAAAAACACACATTTGATCAAATCATACACTGAATAAACTTCAATTCACATTACAATCTGTTGCATTTTAATTTTCCTCATTTAAATTGATCGTAAACGCTTCTGTGCAATATCTACACGTACACACACACACACAAACATATACACGTATGAGACACCTTGAATTCATTCAAGGTGTCTGATACACACACAAATATATATATAAGCCATGTTTGTTACATTGATCTTTTGTAAAACGTTAATTCTTTTATTTCATCTGTTCTCGTCCTATCTTTCAATCCATATATATTTATATATATATATATATATATATACATACATACACACACTTGGATATATACATATGTATCTATAGTATCAACTTGTATCTCTATATTTTTTGTGACAGGAACGTGTAAAATAAAAGACGACCAAAGATAATAAAGAAGCATTAAAAACCCAAAAAAACCTCAATTCGGTTGTTAATATTTTATTGGATGAATGTATCAAAACTTCAGTTCAACTTCTAACTTTTACTAACAAAACAGAGTAACAAAACAGTAATATGACAAAAAGCAAGTCATCATATTATGTTGCAGTAACTGTTCATTAATAATAAGCAATAACACCAACTAACTAAACCAACGTCACATCACATCGACTAAACCATCAAGTTCGCCATTATGACTATTGTTGTTACATTCATCATCACCATGAATATTATCACCGCGAGAGATGGCGTGATAATAACATCCTCAGCATCAGTTCAATTATTCCTCCTCTTCAGCAGCTTCAGCGGCCTTCTTGAGGAAGGTTGCTTTCTTTTGCTTCACTCTGTCTCTCTTCTGTTTCAATGACATCTTCGACCTGTTCCATCTGTAATAAATAACAGTAAAAAATAATAATTTTGAAAAATCTAAAAAGCACACGACTGGTGAAAAAAATTATTTTTGTTTTTAGAGTGTAATAAACTTATGAGAAACAAGTAACAAAACCAAAGACCCTGGAAAACAAGACCAAAAATAACTGAAACAATCAAAAAACCAATGCACACCTCTTTGGTTTGCCTTCCTTGACTGGTTTCTCCTTGACAACATGCTCAGGGTTGCTTCTGATTTCAGCATGGGCCTTCTTGTACATCTCCTCAATCTAGTTGTTTACATAACATAAGTTGTATAAACTATCTAAAAAAGTTATTCAACTAAAAAATAATACAAGAGAAATCAAAATTTTATTATAAAAATGTAAACATTTCACTAGCACATGCAACTTGAAGAGAAAAGAAGAGCCCTAAAGAATACTGACATTATCAGGATTGAGTCCATTGGTGATGAACTTGGAGAACTGTTTCTTGTACATCTCCTCGTCATCCTGTTGGAGGTTCCTCATGTACTCAGCAACGTGCAGACCAAATATGTGCTTCCTATGGACATCGGCATGGAACTCCTTGCTCTCACTGTTGTAGCCAGGGAATCTCTTCGTGCTGTTGTTTGCGGTTGTTCATGTCATTCATTACTGCATCCATTCACTTATTATACTGTCATGTTTGCACGATAGGCTTGAGAGAGATATGAAATAAGATGAACATAACAAGCTGAAAAATGCTTTGAAAAATTACTAAAAACTGAATGATCCATCTGACAAGTGATGGGATTAACAAATTTGAAATAACCAACTTGTGAGGGATATCCAAGCCAGCATCAACAGCTCCTTTCAAGACACCAAAGACACGAGCTCCAGTCGATGTACGTGCCAATCCAACATCCAAGTAACACCTGAATGCACCTGGCTGTCCATCTTGGGACTCGACCTACATTTGGCGATCAACGACAAATGAATAATGCAGATGAACTATTGCCATCTCTATTTGTGTATAACTGTAAACAATGAAGGTTTTTGAAATGTAAATTTTTTTTGACATTGCCAGGGAACAGACCTGATAGGCATCACCAGTGACTTCCTCGGTTCCTTGATAGATGCCATCCAAGTTGAACTTTTTCAAGATCTGTAAATGAATGTATTCAATGATTAAATAAATTAAATGCAAAAATACTGGACGGGTAGCTGCTAATTTTATAACTCCCTGATCGCATAAACAACAGTGAATGTTATTAATAGGTTAAAAACTCACAAATACAGTAGTTATTACATGCAAAGATACATCTAACTAGATTATATTCAAAAATTCAGTTTAACAATCATGAAATCAGCCATAAAAGTCACAATCCACAGATTGAAGATTAGGAGTGGTGCATGACATTAAGTCATCCTGTTTCATTTTTTTTTTAGATTTTTAAACATTTCCCAAAAGAAAAAATTTCCCAATATTTGAATATTCCTATATTTACACTAATTTTTATTAACACAAGCCATCTGACTCAAATGCATAAATAAAATGGTGCAACATGAAATGAAAATTCATAAATAACCAAGAGAATACCAAAGAACTGAAATTCCTATAAAATCAGTGATCAAAGTCATAATCCACACACTGATAATTCAGAGTGGTGCATGACATATCAATCATCATGTTTTATATTGAATTTCATTTGATGCTACCACAAAGAATAAGGGTCATTTTAAGTTGGAAAACTTAAAAATATGACCCAACGTTAACAAAATTTATATAGAAAATTAACCGGAAAATAACATGTCAGATGCAGATTTCTAAATGTATCATGAGTTAAAATGAAATAATCCAACCAGAGATAGATTATTCACTATTGAAACATCACAAATTCTCTATACCCTATCGTATATGCCCACATAATTGCAAAAAGTTTCATGTAGGTAAGTTTATAGGGGGAAGCTCTAATTCCATATTTTTACTCATAAAATGTAAAATTGATCATTGTTGATTACATGAAAAACAAATTAAATCAACAACAAAACATTTATCTAGTGAAAAACAACAAGCAAATTAATTTTGTTTCATTATAATTATGAATGGAACCATGTGGCAGATTAAAATAAGAAAGGTGACTTTGATGTCTATATTTTATTATATAACTTACAGGCCCACACACAAACTCATCAAAATGAATAGCTAAGTCCAAAAAATACAAAATAAGATTAGAAATAATCAAGGTCGCCATGCTTTGGTTCAACATACCCTGCGTCCAATAAGTAATCCAGTACAGTAAGCAGCCGCATAGTTGGTCAGCCCGACCTTGACACCATATTTAGGCAACTCATGTGAATATGCAGCACATATCACAACATCACCTTCGATTCTGGCGTACGCTATCTGCAATAAGAAATACATAAAAACTAGTTACTGAATTTTTAAAAAAATTCGCCGGCTCAATTAAAAATATACTTAAATTAAAATATTCAACCACTATCAGGTTACAAACCTGACACACAATGTCTTTGTTAGTGAAGCGAACAATCAAACGATACTTGGGGGTGTTGTACTTGTTTTTGTCCTGAACGACTAAACGCTTTCTGGCATAATAATCGGTTTTACCCTCTGTAACAAAAAATTTCATTTATTTGTCCATCAGATCAGGATAAACGATAAATAAATAAAATAAGACTTGACAAAATGAAGTTAACAAGGCAGACATAAAATTATCTCGACCTCTCCTTCGCCTGAATTTGACCTGGTAACGCTTGAAGTACGCCTTATTCTTCACTACTTTAACAAATCCCTGATTAAAAACAAAATATCGGATAATTCGGAATTGATGTATGCATCATGGCATGCATAACCAAAACACTAAACATTCAATCCAATCGCATCTTAATAATAAAATGTGATTTTAACAAAAATTTTATATACGAAAAATTGTAAAACAATATTATTAATGAAATTGGGAAAAAAATGTTTACCATGTTGTGTCTTTAATTTTGTTACAAATTAAATCGATAGCTTCGGTTGTAGGGTTAACGACTCGGCGGAAAAAGAACTCACAGCGAAAAAAACTAAAAGGAGATGTAAACAATTTTCCAGGGATGTACTGTACTTTACTACTTAAAATTTTAGACATCACATTCATATATACTTCAATACATACAGATTTTAATTTTTATTAGTTACACTAACCACACAGAATATTTAAAAAAAGTAGAAAATGCATCTATTATCAAAAGTTTATTTTTATAACGATTAAATCCTAGTGAATGGATCCTTTTGCACACAAAATGTTTTTTAGACCTCTGTTCCGCATGGTTTTGATGTCTAATTATATACAGTAGACACTGTAAACACTGTGTGTATAAACTATATACACGTTCTTATTCACATTTTTTGAAAAAAATCAGCAGACATTTGTCAAGTTGGCAAGAAATACGTGTATATTATTTGGCAGTTCGATCGATCATTATACCCAGTGGAGTGACCGGATGGAATGGCATCCATTTGACGTTTGTCTGCCTGTTTTTCAGTTCCTAATTCACTTTTGACTAATTAACACAAACACTTGCTTTCTACTGGCTGACTGCATATTGCCGAAAATTATGATGGTTATGGTGGTAGTAATAATAATAATTATTATAATGATAATAAAATGATAATAATTGTTCTTGTTGCTGTTGTTACATTTTCGTTTGGATGCATCCTTTAATTTTATTCAAGCCACAACAGGCATTGAAGTAATTAAATACTGGATAATTTAATTTCCTCAAAAATAAACTCAAGCCAATTACAACTTTTAATACCACAAATTTTGCTGCTGCTGCTACTACGATTACTATTACTGCTACTGCGACTACTACTACGACTTCAACTTCTACTACTACTACTACTATTGCTGTTTCGGCTATTACTACTACTACTACGGCTATCTCTTTTACAACAGCAACTACTAAATAATAATTATAAATAATATTGTAATTAGAAAATTTACACTGAGTTCTTCTATTATTTACCATTCAACATAAAAGGTTGAAAAGCATTTTAAATACGTTTTAATTTTTGTTAGCTAAAGCCAGTGCAAGGCTCAGTTATGTACGGAGTAATTAAAATACTTTACAGTATGCCTTGAGCTAAGGTAAATCACCAGTCTAACTATATTTGCAATGTTTGGTCTCTAATTATTTACATATTATCTGTGAGTGTGTGTGTGAATGTGTGTGTGTGTGTGTGTGCGTGTGTGTGTACGCGTGTGTGTGTATATTTTATTTGTTTACTTCACGTTTTGCTTTTGCTTTTCAGATGAATATCAAACTGAAGAAGCTAATTAAATAAACAATTTATTTTTTCTTTCAAGTTCGTCGTTATACACAAGAGACAGAAGAGTTAAGTTAATACGCAAATTTACATATAAAATTTATATATATATATATATATATATATATATATATATATATATAACTACCTAATAATAATAATATTATTAAATATGGTAATAATTATAAGAGTAATGATCTACAAATGAACGTAATTACTTTACGTTACAAGTTAAGTTACGGGAATAACTCGTTCAACAGTTCGTTTTTTTCGTAGAACATTTCAGCTAGCGAAGAAATAAAAAAATCAATAATATGAATAATAAATAATAATAATAAATGTAATAATAACAAATGATAATAATAACAACCAATAATGATGAGGATAATAATAACAGATAATGATAATAACAATGAAAGAGTTAGAAATTTTGAAAATATGAAACAAAAATTGGAAACGTCAAAACGAATTTTTGACTAATTGACGCCCTGGGCGTACGTACGATGAAACACACGCACACACGCACACACACACGCACGCACGCACTCACGCACACACATCAACATTAATATTTTCCAATTCTTAGTTTTTTCTTTCAATTCTTATTTTTATTTGTTAATGCATCTCTAAATAAATGTCATACATTGGAACATAATTGGAAAAAGAAATAATAAATAAAAAAACTTATCATAAAAAAATAATAGCTACAAGGTATATATAAATGTGTGTGTGTGTCCATGTTTGTATGAATGTGTGTGCGCGTGCGTGTGTATGTGTACCTGCGTGTGCGTATGTATATAGGCTGATAGACAAACAAATAGACAAACATACTAAGAAATAACCAGGCAGATAAAAAGATAGAGATATAGAAAGTCAGACAGAGAAAGATGAACAGATAAACAGACAGACTGACAGACTGACTGACAGACCGACGGACAGAAAGACAGACAGAATGATATGAAATTGATAGGTCAATTCCTGTCTAACTGGAACCTGCCAATGTTTAATAATTCAACATAAACAAAATAATGCACCCAGAGCGCATGATGATGATGATAATGACGATGATAAAGAAGACGACTTCGATGATGGCAGTGATGTTAAAAGATAAAAATCACCTCACTTATTGTTATCATCATCATCATCTTCTTCTACTTCATCATCATCTTCTACTTCATCATCATTGTTCACCAATGTAGTCATCATCATCTTAAAAATATTCTATGTAACCATGTTCATCACCAACAACATTTTGGTCGTCATCATCATCATAATCATCATCATCATCATCGTTGACGGCAAATTATTCGAGCCAAATTGAATTACTACAAATTGAATTAGTTGACCGTAATGAACTAGCTAGCTGATGCTGTGTGCTTTAGTTGTGGTTGATGTGGTTGCTGCTACTGCTGCTGTTGCTGCTGCTGTTGTTGCTGCTGCTGCTGTTGTTGATGGTTTTATATGGCTTTGTTTTAATAGTTTTATTGATGATTCAGGCAAATATCAATGCATTTTTTGGCTCATGTTGAAATTATCATCAGCACTGTCTATATTCGAGTGTGTGTATGTGAATACGTGTAAAGTGTGTATGTGTGTGTGTGTGTGCGTGTGTGCGTGTGTGTGGTGTGTTTGCAATTAATAAAAATTTTTAACAGTAAGCGTAGACGATGAAAATCAAATTTTGTAATTTTCCAATGAATAATGAAAGAGATGTGAATTGGAAACAAAGGATGGCACACGAACGCACGTACACACACTCGCACACACAACAAAGATACACACGCGCACACATACACACACTCACACACACGCACACGTTTAAAGTACTAAATACAAAACATCACATCCACAAGATTATAATTCAACGTTATTATTATTTAAACACAATTGTTACTTACTACGAAAATGGCATATTTTATTTGAAAAACTTTATTTCTAAACTAAAAAAAATTAATATATATAAATATATATATATATATGTGTGTGTGTGTGTGTGTGCGTGTGTTCATACACATATACAAAACAGTACTTATGCTAATTAGTATGTAGTAATGGACAGTGTAAAAAAACAGTTTGCAGCACGGTACTAAAAATATGCAGAAAATTATTATTATAGTTGTAATTATTATAACTATTATTAATATTATTGTTATTATTATTATTATACATAATCAGACATTTCCGCGATTACAATAATGATATGTGGACGATAATAATAATAATAATAATAATAATAATAATAATAATAATAATAATAATAATAATAATAATAATAATAATGATAATAATAATAAAACGATGATAAAATAATAATAATAACAATAATGATAATAATAATAATAATAATTTATAAAGTTATTATTTAAAAAGCGCGTTTAACGATGAAATGATAATGTTGGTTTAAAGGAATAGACATGAATGAATGTAAAAAATTGGCAATCGATGATTCGTGGCAAAGTTGCTACATGCGTGATTATTTATTGTGTGCTGTCGGTCGCTGAAATTCAATCCGAATTAAAATCACAATTCTTTAATTCATTAATAAAGTAATTAATTGACTTAATTGAAGTAATTGAATTAATTGAAACTAAATTTCAAATGAAGGAATGAACTGAGGCATAATCATGGAGAAAAAACTGATTTAACACAAGTTAATTACATTTAACTCCTGCATTTTCAAAGGTATCAAATTGAAAACAACAGGCACGCACACACACACACATACATACAAACACACATGCACACAAAAAAACTACAACATACAAAAACAAACACACACACTCACACGTTAAGGAAAGGAAACACTATTGATAAATGTCTGGCTAATGCTTAAAACTGTGTACGTGCGATATTTGACACCGGAGCTAAAATATTGACCATTCTAAAGTTTTCGTTTGTTTGTTTGTTTGTTCGTTTGTTTGTTTGGTCATCTTAATTCTGTATGTATGCGTGTGTGTTTGTATGTGTGCGTGATTGTGTTTCTACGAGTACGTGTGTGTTTGTGTGTGTTAATTTTAACACGTACTTAAGTTGCTTAATGCAGAATGAAACAGTGCCTACTCTCGTTCGTTTGTGGGTGTGTCTTTGTGTGTGTGTGTTGTTTGTGTGTGCGTGTTGTTTGTGTGTGCGTGTTGTCTGTGTGTGCGTGTTGTCTGTGTGTGCGTGTTTACGATAACCACACGTACATACACGCATACAAACTTTTAGAGTTTCGTTAAACAAATGAATAAACAAATAACAAAAATAAATATATAACCCTGTCATGTTATGTGGGAATGGTTAAGTTGTTTGTGTGTTTATTAATTTTGTGCTTAGCTGTTCATTTTTACAAGTTTATTATTAATTAACTAATTTGATTAAATAATTAATTAATCAGATTATGTTTATTATTTAATTTTAATTAAATAATTAAATGATTGTATGTGTAAGGTCGAGTTGTTACATATTTGCAGTGTTATGTGATTCGACGTCATAGAATGCACGTCTTAAGTGTTTATAATGTCTTAATTGGAACTCACCCAATCACACAAACTATCAATCCATCAATCTTTTAACCACTAACCAACCAGCCAACCAATCAACAAACCAACTAACTAACCAACCAACATACCAACTAACCAACCAACCAACAAACCAACCAACCAATCACGTTAAGAATGCTGTTTATAAGTACATGTATGAAATAAAAATCTATAAATCAGTCGATAAATTAATTTTATTTAAATATACAAAGTATAAATTGATACATATATAATAACAC